CTGCCGTCTCTGTTAGGTGGTTCCTCTGGAGCAGGGACCTGGTACGAAAAAGAGCACATTTCAGGTACTTTAAGAGTGCACAAAATTGACCGTCTAGTCACTTCAACCGAACTTAATGCACAGTGTAATATGCGGTCATTGTTTGGTTGTAATTAGAAGAATGAATTTTCCACAGCCCGAGTGTGATTTGATGGACGCCGAGAAACAACCAACCAGGCCTCATACAAATTGTACAGAGGTTACCCAATGGGAGTGCGAATAAAAACCACAAAACGGTGGCCGTTTGATTGTCAGCCAAGACTTACAGCAATCGACGCAGTGATTCGGAAGTTATCAGTCATCCGGATACATTTTTGTCAGTTTATAAACACCAGTGGCAGTTACCATAGGTACTAAACAGAAGTTCCCGTGACCCAACCGTCTTTCTAAGAAAGTCGTCATGAGAAAACAAGTGCATGGTTATTCGATTTGTACAAAATGTCGGTTATAGATGAGAAGGAAAATTAGTTTAAAAAAGTCGCGGGGAGCTCAGACTAACACGGATAGAAATGGACAAATGAAAAAGTTACTGTGCGGCCAATCGGGGGAAATGGACCAGTAAAAGCCAACATCAGCACATGATAAAGGTAACGCGCGAAACCAGAAACAAAATAAGTGAGGCAAAAAGATCAACACAAGTCGGCATTTGAGAAAATTACTGTTATTAGCAGCCTTGTGTTGAGCAGCAGATCAAAAGACAGATATACAGAAAGATTAAGAATAAATTATGGTACACGATGTGACGAAAGAACAAACCGTATGGTGACAAGCCCCACTTCACTGAGCAGAAACGAGGAAAAATGTACAGAAGGCTGACCTACAGGACCCTCTCAGGCGACTGCGATTGCGAAATTGAGACAAACGGGTGCAGGTCGAAAGCAAGTGGCACGAAAATTCACGAACCAAATGAGTGGCGAAGCAACTGAAGTAGGCTTTGGACTTTCATCTGAAAATACGGAGTAGCAACATTTAACAGAACAATTAATTTAACTGCTACACGTGACCCGGAGGAAACGGGTGAGTGAGATACCATCAGAGCTGCCAGAAGTACATGAAAATAGTGAGAAATAGAAATGTCCCGAAACGAGGAATTTAGATCGCAAGCTCTCCATCAGATGAAAAAAAACATGGGGATGGCTAGCAGTAATGGTTGGTTTATTTACACGTCTCTAAATAATGGCAAGACTATTGCAGCTGCTACTGTCCCGTAGTGGTTTCCTTCGCAACAAAAAGCATCACTTACGTCTCCCGTCTTCCGTTCCTTCCCACTAGAATTGTGAGGTGCTGGTTTGAAGTAAGATACTACAAGTGTTGGCTGATTCTGCAGGTACAACAGAGTCACACTTTCGGAGACTTAATTAAAGCAACCCACCTACTACGACCGCTGAGTAGCACTCGCTTAGTCTTAATGGACAGTTCACACAGCTGCTTTTGTTGATGGAACTATCAAACATCGTGACAAAACAAAAAACTACAGCAATGTATGGTTAGAATTCACAGTTGGGGCTTGTGCACGAGTTAAGTGTTTGATAACAGGAGATGTCAGCGAACCCAACACAGTTCCAGAATCTGGTGTTAAGTGACCCTCTGCCAACACCTGACCACTACTGGTGTATGTGCGTTGGCCCGGGTACCAAATATATCGGGTGGTGGTCTCGCAGCCCCGCTTCAGCCATTACCCTCAAAAAAAAAAAGAAAGCGTTCAGCTTAGCACCCTTCCGGCGCCTAGCTGCCATGCCACCCGAAGGAAGCACGAGGGCTTGGATACTGCCAGGTTGCCTGAGCCTAGGCAGGGGAAGTCGAGAGGCGGAGGTCGGATTCGAACCACGGAACTTCCGGTCAGTAAATTCGCGCTCTAACCACTTGGGCCATCTCGCCATTACCCTCAGGAGAAAATAATATCGATTGCTTAGTACGTGCTCATAGAATCCTTCCGCTAAAGGTGATAAGAAAAGCGGACCGTGACTAAAAACAAGTCTATAATAGCAATGATAATATTTTTAATTAAGGAAACTACCTACAAGGTTGCTGAAGACTCTTCGACAGTCCACGACCGGTTTCACCCTTGGGCTCAAGTAGAACACAATGTTGACGGAAACTCGGGGACTACTCGCACCTGATGATCCCCAAGAAAGGCGAAATCGGTTATGGGCTTTCGAAGGGTTTTCTGCAACCTTGTGAGTAGTTTCGTTTATGAAAATATACTGTGATGTCTCTAATATCGTACCAACTGAAACATGAGGCGGTTTTTGTGAAGCACATTCAGTTGAAGAACATCATAAACGAGAGATTCAGTTGAGTTTCCCGTGAAAAATAAACTGATTTACAAATGTGTGTATTTGTCGAAATGATAATAGTGTTTGTGCGATTACTCAGTATGGTTTAGATTTCATTCAACGGCAGGCAGAGGTCGGGTTCAAACCATGGACCTTCAGGTCGTTACATTCGCACTCTAACCACTTGAGCCATCTCGGCCCATTCATTTGAATCCACGTCGGGTTTCCAAGATAAGTTTACACGTATAGCCTTTAGACCTTTGGTAAACTATTAACATCGACTGTGTGCGCCTAACTTATGCTACGGTTAGGGGTGATGTTTATTCGTTAGCTGCTGAGGAGTTCCACGAAGACTGTTACCACCGAAAACCCATTCTAGGGCCACACA